CCCTGGGGGGAACCAGTACTGAGTGTAATAGTGGAAGAAAGGTGGGGCCAAGTCTAACAGACTGCGGTTTGTTTGTCAAAAAGTTCTTAATCTAGGAGCACGTGGGGGTGGGGACCTGCAGATTATACAGTTTGGTTACTAGTATATCTGGGATGACAGTGTTAAACGCAGAGCTGTAGTCCACAAAGAGCATCCTCACATAGCTCTGTTTGTTCTCCAGATGACTCAACGTTCTATGAAGTGTAATGGCCACAGCATCTTCTGTAGATCGGTTTGCTCTATAAGCAAACTGATGTTGATCAAAGGAGGGCAGGAGGCAGTCTCTGATATGCTGTGAAACTAGTCGCTCAAAAACCTTCATAATGGAGCCTGTTAACGCTATGGGCCTATAGTCATTGAGAGTGTTTATATTTGTTTTTTTTGGAAACGGGGATGATGGTTGCAGCCTTCAGGCATTGTGGGATGATGGCATGTGTTAAAGATAGATTGAACAGCTCTGTAAGTATTTCTGCCAACTGGTCAGCACACACTTTAACTACTGCATCAGGAATGCCATCAGGCCCTGCAGCTTTGCTGGGATTTACTGCTCTCAGTGTTTTTCTCACCTCATGCACCTGAAGAGAAAGAGGTGCAGCGTCGTGGTCTTCGTGAGGCAGTATGTCCAGGTTCTTGGTGGTCTCAAAGCGTGCAAAAAGGCTGTTTAGCTCCTCCGACGGAGTGCTACTGCTCTCGCTGTTTGTTGGACCCTGGCCTTTATAGTTGGTCATGGCCTGTATCCCTCTCCACATCTGCCGTGGGTCACTGTCAGTAAAGTGGCCCTCGACCTTCCTCCTATACATCTCCTTAGCATGTTTGATGCCCTTTCTCAGCTCAGCTCTGGCAGTGCTGTACTGTGAGGTGTCACCTGCTCTAAAAGCTAGGTCACGGGCCCTGATCAGAGTCTGGACTTTGCTGGTCATCCAGGGTTTCCTGTTTGGGAAGGTCCGTATGCATTTGTCCACAGTGACATTTTATACACAGGTCTTCATGTAGAAAAGCACAGTCTCTGTGTATAACTCGAAGTACTGTTGTTTGAAGATGTTCCAATCTGTGCGGGCAAAACAATCCTGAAGCTGGGAGGGGGCATTTTCAGGCAAGCATCTAATTGTTTGACTGCTAGGTTTTGTTCTCTTCCTAAGGGGAGTGTAGGCTGGTAGTAAGAGCAGGGTGAAATGGTCTGATTGTCCTAAGTGGGGAAGAGGTCTATAAGCTTGCTTAATATTTGAATACACATGATCAAGTGTGTATATAACACTGACTTAGTTTGTTTTCATGTTGCAAACTGCTCCTTGTGGGTTAACATATTTATCAGATACTACAACTCTCATATTTTAGCAAATACTAAACCATGGTTTAAGAAATCAAGATAGATTCCAATTCCATATTGCTATTTAATTTCACAATTCAGAACTTATGCCAACTCTATGCCCAAGGCACAGGTATACTATGAGAAAAGAAAAATGTTATGTTGAAAATGCAGTCTCAATAAGTGGGTTGAGCACATCTTTCAGAGAATGGTCTCACAGTAGTCTGCACTAATGTGATAAGCTATGCTTGTTCTTATATTGAATAGGAGTTTTTTTCCTGTATAAAAGTTATATTTATTCCTGGAACTGAGAATAAGAAACAAAATTATGTTTGCCTAGCTGAAAGCAAATCCAATGCTGGAGCAAATAAAGCCTGTTTGCACCAAAGCAAAACAGAGATTGCTAAAAAAAAGTCATTCTATAATGGAATCTACATCACTAATAGATATTTGAGAGTTACAATATTAATTCAGTTTGGATATGCATGTATGTAGTGCATAACAACTTCATAATTATGTGTCTATATAGGCTGCCAAATTATTCCCATAAAATATATAGTAAGACACAAAGAATAAAAATGTAGAACACATTATTAACACAGTTTTTTTTAAAATAGAAGCATTAACCATTCCCTGGTTATGATCTTACGTATGCATGTGTGTATTAAATTTATTGGCTGCCCATCTTACCATAGGCCAACAAATTTATTTATTAATTATTATTTTTATGCCACCCACCTCTCCTGTAAGATGACTCTGGGTGGTTATTTATGATACAAATAACTAGCTAGCTTCGTTCACTTTTCATACTGTATCCCAGCATGTCTCTTTATAATTGGTAAAACACCAATGTGATAAGGCTAGGAGTACTTTCAGTTTCAATAAAACGTAGTTTTCCTTGTTGAAAATTGGTAATACCAATTTTAGTACTAGGGAAAAAGTACTAGGTGATACTAGGGCAAAACTCTAGATTTACTATAGTAAAATATATGTAGACTACAGTTAAAACCAGTGTTACTGCATTTTCTATAGGAACTGATTTATCACGGATAAAAGAGCTCTAAGAATTCAAAGATACTTTATGTTGTTTTCCCCTCCTACACAAAACCTCAATGAAATTCAGTACTCTGTGTCTCAAAGTTTCCATTTGGGCCTCGAGGATAAAGTTGATGCATCAAAACAATTGCGAACAGTGTTTGTGAGCTGAATGAAAAAAAAAAAAAAAGAACCTTTTATAGTGTTGTCAACTTGAAAATTGCTGAACCCATCAGAATTACAATAGGAAGATTTTATTGACCAGGTCTGTCCTTGGCAACTTTAATATTTGTGGACTTCAAGTTCCAGAATTCCCCAGCCGGTCATGCTGTGAGAGACACTTTTTAAAAAATAAAATAAAAGAAAGCTTACTGAATTACATCAGTCAGAAAGAAGAAACTTTACCCTAGATCTTTCCTCTAATTTGGTCATCATAACAACAGTGGCACTCCTTTGCTCCCACATCATTCTCCAGAAGTCCCCAAAGGTTTCGGGAAGAGCTCCTTGAGTTGCGATGTAAGCGTTCTGCTTTCTGTAACCATCTATATAGTTAGCATTTATATAATCACTGCCTGGTATGCCTAAAAAAGGGAAGAAAAAAAAGACATGATTAATTTTAATTCAATTATGAACAGTAATGTTTATTTTTATGCCAGAACAAGGAACTAGGCGGCCCAGGAATGCTAATATATTGTTGCAGACTATAGAATAGAATCTTAAAAACCAAATGAAGTTAAGGTTATTTTGAGTGTCTTTCCTGATTTAATCTTTGTACTATGTAGTCACTTCTCCAGGATCCCCTTCCATTCTTTCCCAATATCATCTCTAAATTCTTTTATAAGCATACATAGTTTGGTGCCTGAAGAACTGAAGTTCTGAAATCAGAACTGAAGAAGCTTCTTGGATGAGGAGTGAAACGTCTTCAAGGAAAAACAAAGAAAGTCCAGTTGCCTTTGGGAAAAAATATCTTTGGGACAACCATGACTTGAACGACTGAGCATCTCCACAGACATTTTGATTCAAAGAACTAGAAAAAAATTGGGAAACTCCTTTTGGCTCAAACATACCTTTTTCTTATATGCTGGGGTACTATAGTTTTAGGATTGCATAAAAGTATGATTCTAGTGACCTCTGAAAATTGTTACCAAAAACTGTTAATATAACAGAAAATTAAATGACCAATTTATTGACTATAATATTGTGTATATTTTTTCTCCTTTTTTCATGCATTGTTTTGTGGATTTTAACTGTAAGTATGTCATGAAAAGGCCAAATGTGACATTCATAAAAGTTTACACCAGGGGTGTCAAACTCAAGGCCCGCAGCCTGGATCCAGCCCACAATGTGGTTGGATCCGGCCCATGGGGCCATTCTGGTCTACCCACGTTGCTTCAGCCCTGTCTACCCAATGCAGAGAGGAAAGATCAGGCCAGTGAAGCTTTGGCCTGGTCTGCTTGGTGCGAAGAGGAAAGCCAGCAAAGCTTCAGCCCGGTCTGCCCAAATGCAAAATAGGCCAGCGAAGCTTCGTCCTGGTCTATCTGGTGTGAAGAGGAAAGCCAGCGAAGCTTTGTCCCAGTTTACCCAATGCAGAGAGGAAATATCAGGCCAGCGAAGCTTCAGCCCGGACTAACTGGTGCAAAGAGGAAAAATAAGGCCAATGTAGCTTCGGCCCGGTCTACCCAATTAGGCCAGTGTGGCTTCGGCCCAGTCTACTCAATGCGAACAGGAAACATGCCAGCAGTTTGGGGAATGGCGTCAAGCTGGCCTCGCCCACCTAGTTAGCCACACCCACCCAGTCAGCCAAGCTCCCTGCCCCCCCCCCCCCAAGGTCAACCACAGTCCTGATGCGGCCCTCAATGAAATTGAATTTGACACCCCTGGTATACACATTTATCAGGGATACGTTTTAGGTTAATTGCTCTGTAATTCCATGGTTTTTACATTTCTTACATAGAACGATTTCAGTAATTGCTAAAATGTTAAATATTTACTGCATATCTAATGCATACATGGCATATGACATACATGTCAATTCCAGGAAATCAAGCTGTTAAAGTTATATATTTATAGGGAGTTGCACCAGTGGAAAACAGTAAGATTTTAATTATACAGGTAGCCCTCAACTTATGACTACTATAGAGCCCAAAATTTATGTTGTTAAGTTAGAAATTTGTTAAGTGTGTTTTGCTCCACTTCTCTTGCCACATTTGTCAAGTGAATCACTGAAGTTGTTAAATAAGTAAAATGGTTGTTTAAGTGAATCTGGCTTCCCCATTTTCTTTGCTTGTCAGAAAGTTGAAAAGGTGATCATATGATCCTGAGACACTGCAACCGTCATAAATATGAGCCAGCAGTCAAGCATCCAAATGTAAATCACACAACCATAGGGTCATAAGTGGGCAACACATGCTGCAATGGTCATAGGTATGAAAAATGGTCATAGGTGTGAAAAATGGTCATTAATCACTTTTTCCAGTGCCATTGAAACTTTGAACAGTCACTAAACGAACTGTTATAATTTGAGAACTGTATTCCAGACCTTTAAGATAGATGTTTTACATTAATTGCATATTTTAATGAATTGAAACTTATATTGAGTAGATTAATTAATTTGACATTGCAGTGGAAATGAAGATATGTCGCATTTCTCAGACACTTACAAACCTAAAGATAGGATTTAATTGTTAAAATGGTGAAGAAAGTCCAACCCCCCCCCCCCCAAAAAAAAAACCATTGAATTTTCTTCATTGATCTTCTGTGATGTTACAGGATTTTGTATTAAGAAAAAAAAAATATTGCAGCCATGTTTAGACAATGTTGGCTCAATACATCCCATCAAAATAAATGGAAAATCTTGAATGTCAGAAAAGAAAAAAAAAATTCTAAAAGTTCAACAGAATGATCTCATTACAAGATTTTTCATATATATATATATATATCCCTAATTCTCATTTTCCACTAAAATATCTTTGAAGTAAAATGCTGGCCTTTTTTGATCCTATTAAATTTCAACAGACTTTGGACAGATTTTTTAAATCGTATAGATTATTTATGAAACGCTTTGACCTGTGGTATCATCTTTGGTGCCACTGAATATTAATAAAGGTTTTTAAAAAGCGTACAGTATATAAGAAGAAACAAGTTGCAGCCAGTATTTGGAGTTTTCAATGCTAAGGGAAAAATGATAACCTTTCTGTAGGTCTTGGATTCTTTCTGTTTTTAGAGTGAAAAGTGAAGGAAAAAATGAAAAGAAAACGATCATAAATACCAATTATAATGAGAAGAATTGTACACTAATTACCAATATTTTAAGATTATTTCTCATTCTAGTTCTCTTTCCTAGCATATCTGTATGTACCTTAAATACCTTAGAGAAGCCATGTAAATGTTGATTTTAGTAGGCTGTTATAATACTTCGATACCTAATAACATTACCAATTTTTAAGAATGAGCAATTTATTCTCAGCTACAGTTTAAGTTTAATTCAAGGTATAATCCCACTGCAGTTGGTGAAAATATAGTTCCATGTATATGTGTGCACAAGTTTGCCATTTTATTTTGTAAACTACTATTTGATGTATCCATTTGATGTAGACAAAATATTTTGAAAAGTAAATGTCAACACAAAAACACTTAAATTATAAATACATATGAAATGGAGAAATGTTGAAGAAAGGTATTTGAAGGTTCTGTATTTATGATTAGGGTCTGATAATTCTTGGGCATGCAGTAAGTGTAGGCCCAAGTAATCTGTAGACTGTACAACAAGGTTGTTGCCAGAATCCTAGGAATTGCTAATAGTCATTCCTGCGAGTGTTTGGTACACACAGTAGTAACTAAATACACAGCAAAAATGTCTAAATGCCCCTGTTGACATACACTGAATATATTATTTTATCCTAGTCAGATTATTTAGATTGAAAACATATACAAATTATGCAGGATTGATTTAATTGAAACAATTATACCAAAATAGACTGCTGTTTGATTACTACATTTTGATTTACTGAGGAAGTAAAGATAAAAGATCATAGGAATTCTTGAAGTACATTAGGGTTCCTATTCAATGCAATTAAATTTGGGGGGGATTACTGTTTTTATTCTTTTTATATTGGTTTTTTATTGTTTGTAAGTTGCCTAGAGTCACTGAAAGTGAGTGGGCAGCCCTATAAATTTTAAATAAATAAATAGATTTATTGTAATTAATCTATAACATATTTCAATAATACTGCAGTTAAAACTTTTTAATGAAATTAACAAACAATTAAAAAGTTTAGCTTATTGCATTTTCTGCACGTTATTTACAGTATTGAGCCATGGTGGCGCAGTGGTTAGAATGCAGTATTTCAGGCTAATTCTGCTGACTGCCAGAGGTTCGATCTTCAAACTGGTTCAAGGTTGACTCAATCTTGCATCCTTCTGAGGTCAGTAAAATGAGGACTCATTATTGGGGGCAATATGCTGATTCTGTAAACTTAGGTATTATGAAGCAATATATAAGTTGTTTATATATTGTTATTGCTATTTTGTATCTATATAAGTGCTATTGTTATTGCTATTTTGAAAACCCATATAAGGCATATTAATTCTTTTGCATCATTCTTATAAATAAACAAATTTAATATGTGATATATTAGCATATTTCTTTTCCTTAGCGTGATATATTTTATATTAGGTGACAAACGTGGCATGGATATTACAAAAAAGTAAGTAATGTTATAATATTAATAATTGTTAATTAAGATAATATATCATTGTTAGTTTTGAAAAATAATTTAATTTTATTAATTTTATTAATATATTGTTAAAGGCCAAATATCACAAAAAATTTAGAAGTGCAGATATAGATAATCATACCTAGTTGGGAAATAACAATTTTGGAGAATTTGCATTAAATGATGAATAAGAATGAATTTCCACTATCACTATGCTTTATTTCATGTAACCTAGTTACAAAGTGTACACTAAGCCTTTTGAAGCCATGATTTTCAGCAAAAGAGATTTTGGGATTTAAAAAGTTTTTGGAGTGATGAAAAGCTTTTCAGGAATTTCCTGAATGTGGAAATACGGGTTAATGATTCAGAAAATAATACCATCTGGGCAAAATGCCACAAACCTTCCATCTATCAAAAATGACAAAACCATTTCTCCAAAAATAGATGAGAAGAAGAATGATGTCAACAAGAGAAATATACACCTAGTGCACATCATAACTAGAAGATATGGATTGGGCATTTATAAGAGAAACATTTTTTCTAGATAACTTATGAGTACATTTACAAATCTCCGATATTGTTCTGTGATGCATCATTTACTTCAAAATAAAACACATAAATATAAACCACTGAGCAACATACAAATGGAAAAAACAAAAATCCTTCCCTGCATTAGCAAGATGATGAGACAGCTGGCATCTAGCTATGACAACTTATGAATTAACATCATTCATCAAAGAGCATACTTCCAATGCTTAATATAAGATGCTCCTAATATTTTTGAAGCTATTGTTACTGGTATGCAAATGTGATTCATTTTTATATTTTGGATTCATTATGTATTTCTTTAGTTACAATAAAAAGTG